AAAGCAAAGCAAAAGCATCGTCTTTATTCATTATCCAAGTGCTTAATTGGGTCAGTAATAATTAAAGAATGTCTGCATAACATAAGCTTAATTAGATGATTTCATGTTTCTTCCCCCACTGAAGATAAGACTGTTGTTTACCCATGTACTGATGAGTAGACTCCATCTTGTATTAGCCACACAGTAACCATTCTTTATCAGGTAAGTTACAATTAATGTAATTAATTAATTACATTACATTTAGCTGACGCTTTTATCCAAAGCGACTTACAATTGCTATACAGGTCAGAGGTCGCACGCCTCTGAAGCAACTAGGGGTTAAATGTCTTGTTCAGGGACACAATGGTGGATGTGTCACAATTGAACACGGGTCTCTCACACCAAAGGCATGCGTCTTATCCACTGCTCCATCACCACCCCAACAACAGAATGCTCTTTAGTCGCAGCAGTTCTGCTGTTAAAACATACAGCAGTGTCTTTTAGTTTGACTTGCTCAGGTAGCTGCTTCCGTAACTGTCAACACGACGACAAAGCTTTGAGTGTAACGCTCAGCCGGGGGTATTTGTTGTCTGTCGAAACCCTCAAACCACTAGAGAAAACAGAAGGATTCATTTACACGCTTTGGAGTGAAAATGTTTATTGCGCATGGTTGGCCTGGCTCAGCAGAAGCCGAGATGTGGAGTGCTTCTGCATTTACTCCAAATCGAGGAGGTGTGCTGGTAATGCTTTATCAATAACGCAAATCCCCTTGTTGCATTTGCTTGTCAGCCAACGGTCTTGCTGTGTGCACACTGGGGGAGAACCTGATTAATTCTGCTTCGCTCGCATGGAATTACAGTTCAACCCAGCTCGACTGAAGTTGACATGGAATATCAGTTAGTGTTTTAACTGGGTCAGGTTGTACATTAAAGCCGCGGCTCTTCTAAAAGCACACCAAAGATGATGCAGTAGGGTTTCGCTGCATCAAAAATCTGTGAGTGTATTGTGTGTATGGCTGAGATGCAGTATAAAACATGAGCAACAGTATTCGCACATCTTTATTTATTTCTCAGCTTTTCAAAAGACTTTTTCAGACCTTATTTTATTCATCAAATGTCCAACTCAATTTTCTCCTCCCTATGTACACCGAAGGACGCCTGCCTCTCCGCTCCAACCCAGGTGATGAAAATATTTTCTGAAGTTTTTGATATCATTCATCACATTTTACTCAGACATGCGTATCTGACCACATATTGAATATGGGTTTATGTCACCCATTAATGTATGCATACACCCATGACCGTCTGCGTAAATGTATGCATGTTCACAATGTATTGTATGGCTTTTAGTCTATGTGGCATAGTCGTGGATATTATATGCAGGTGTTTAAATGAGGATAATAACTGTATGTGAAATGGCTGCTGAGCACACACGTTACGGCTGTCATAACTGTACAATGTATGGAAGATCACAGCTTTCAGTCATACCCCATGATCTTCCGGAGGAGGAGATTTCCATTTATAATAACAGCACTTTTATTTAGTAGCACAACAGCTACTAAATGGACCTTGTGGTTGTTACAGAAGGAGTTTAATAAAATGCCATCCACTGAAAAAACTTTGACCTGTTGTACTCGCAGCACTTATCATCTTTTGAGGTGTTTTCAGCTTTAGTTTTTCATTCCAAAGTTTTGGGATATGTCTGATTCTCTGACCGTTTCTGATGCTTCTTATACTGGACTTCTGGCAGAGTCACCGCGTCCCAGGGCGTCAGCCGTAAAGCCAGTGAATAAAAGAACCAACATGAATTACGGCCCAATTTCAAAAAGACTTTTCCATTATCATGGATAATAATAAGTTTTAAAATTAAACTTATTATTAGGTTGAAATCTCCAGTACAGTATTTCCTGAGAGCTGCATATCCTGTACTGGTCACGGTGGTATTATTTAAAGCACACATAGCTAATATTTTCCCATTGTCATTTAGTGCTGCAAGAGCACCATGAGGGATGTGCAGTTTAGAAAGCCTAGGAGTCAGAAAGTCTCTGCTTGTTATTTTTGAGCAACCTATTTTCTCTTTCTATGTTTCAAAGCTGATGCATTTTGACTGTGTGTAGTTTCCCTGTGTAGGTCAGGACGCTGCAGGTTTTAAGATGCCAGCTTTGTACCTTCTGTACACAGAACCTGATGGTCTGCTCAGTGCAGGCAGAGCCCTGCCCCTAAGGAAGTAAGATGGACCGGCGCCAGTGTGGTGCTATCTGTATGTCCCCTGACTCTTATCTACTACTTCCAGCATGGGCTGCGCTGCATCTGTGCTGCTGCCCGCATGATGGTGCTTTTGTTATCAGGAAACTCATGCTTTAGAGCCCAGAGGGAAGCGATGTGTTCAAGATATTTGGAAAACTTTATTTTTTTAACGAGGATTGTTAAATAGGAGTGTATGATTGTAGGTGCTGCCCACCATGGCCTCCATACATTGAAAAGCACAGTCTCCACACACTGATACCCCCCTAACCCCTTCCAACCCTTCCTGGAACTGGAGCAATGTGAGGAACTGCGAGCGATGTGTTATTTCATCACTCCCTTCACTGGAAATATTTTATATTTTATTAGATGTCTTATACTGGATTTACTTTAGTATTTATTAGTATTAGACCTATTATAATCATCTTGTTAGATTATAATCCAATTCTCTGTGATCTATCTATTTTTTTTTTATTACAGTTTTCCCTCCATCTACTGCAGCCTGAGCTGTCTGAGATGCACTTTAAAGTAAAAGTAGAGGTTTTTATTCATTTTTTTTAGGAGCTCTTTGTTGTTTCGTTGACTTTGAGCTGGGTTCATATTTTGGGGTCTGTAAATCTCTTTGAGTCATATGTAATTTTGGACCACACAAATAAACTTGACTTGGGATTCTACATCAAGGCTTGTTTCTTGGAGTTTGTTTTGGAGTCGACTCTCTGCCGAGCTGTCAGAGCTTCTCTAAGAAGATTTAAACAGTAGACCTCCCTCCTTCATAACCAGTAACCCACCCTGTCCTCGAGACTTAAAGCTTGTCATTCCCAATGTATCTTAATTAGGATTTTTGGGTGATTGGCTTCCACTAATGAGAAGAAACCAGATAAATTAATTTCAACTGAATGGCGCTGTGATCCTTTGCCATTTTCTTTCGGCATGTTTTTCTAACATGCAGTTATTAAGGGATAAGTCATGCAGCATAACCTGAAGCCTTTCACAGGAGGGTTGATTGCTTGCCCACTAAGTACAGACCAAACTATTTACTGCCATGGCATTTATACTACTACTCATTTAAATAATGTGATTGTTAGCAATTTAACCATGTAATGGACTTATGTTTCAGAATGTGCGCAGCCTCCTAAACACCTGTTTTCTTTGGTTTTCTACCCAAACTCATTGCTCGAGGGGGAGATAAAAATAACAGTTGTTTATTTATCTGTTCTCCTACATTATTCATTTTATTATATACCGTGAGATGACAAAAGGCACCCACTTGAACAGATCTAACACTGAGAGAAATGCTGAAGAAAATCCATTCTGCGTTATTCCTCAGCTGGAGATGGATCGGGGAAGTTTGATCGTGTCAGCTTTGTTTTTGCAGAGATAGAAATTACATTATAGGGAGGGAAAAGATTTGAGTTTTGGAGGATATTTATTCTCAATAAATAATAAAAATAGGTTCAGTCTTCCATCCATCCATCGTCGACCGCTTATCCTGCGTACAGGGTCGCGGGGAGGTTCAGTCTTATAGATTTGAATTAGAGTTATTCAACACTTTAAAAAATAAAAATAAATTACCTTCTTTTCTACACCATTGCTGGACCGCTGCGACTTTTCACCGCTGGTAGTGATTCTTTCTTTTTCTTTCCGTGGTTGTCAAATTGTTGCTGATGTATTTGACTTATTAACAGTGCTACTTGCAGGTCAAAGCAATAAACTATATGAACTCCAAAATCTCTGTGAACACTTTACACTGACAACTTTGCATTATCATTTGCCTCACATGCTCTTTTTAAAATGTCCTGATGTGTGTGTGTACATGGATGATCTTCAGCAGTATATATCAACCCAATCTGACATACAGCACTCAGCTCAGAGTTATGCACACTCTGTGCCCTTTACATCTATCTCTGAATGTCATATCCCACAAATTCCTCAGGCGCTTTCAGGATAGCTGTGCAATACTACACAATAGAACACTTTGGCCCTCATTTATCAAGTGAGTACAACCATTTTAAAAAAGGACACCTTCCAAGATTAAAGTACTAATCTGAACTTCCAAAATGCTAAAACTAAGAGTCATGTTGAAAGACACTTGAGGAACTGATGGTCTAACAAAGACAAAAGAGATATCGCTCTCAAGTGAATGGAACTGAATGGCTTTTGATTTCAGATTTACCAGAGAAGCATTTCATTGATTTTTTTTTTTCCCTCCAACATAGCGTTTTTGATTGGGGTTGATCAATATGTTTGTTTGCTTTCTTTAAACTATTAATAAACACTGACAGCTCACAAATCTCCACAGCTGACACAGCGCTGTAAATCCAATAGCTTATAAGAATAAAAACTGCTTTGTAGTGTTGGACAGGAGGCACATCTTAAAGATTTTCCATGTGTGTCAGCACAGAACTGTCCTGTGTGTCCCCAACAGTCATTTATATCTGTGCTGTCTGATCCACACTCTTCTGTGTTGGCTGGACTGACGGGGGAGGTGAAGCACCTTGTAAGTCGGGACTTACCCTTCTTTCTCTTGTCAGAGGTCGGTGTAGCTCAGTAGAAAAATCTCTTATCAGCTTGATGGTGGAAACAAAAGTTGCCCCTTGTATCTGTCACAGCCTTAATTGCAACTGAAATGCGTGGTTATTTCCTTCAATCTACAAATGAACTTTTCTCACGCCGAATGAAATGAATAAATTGCTGTGAGCTGGACTTGCGGCAGTGCTCCCTCATCTCTTCTCATATTTTTTCTCAAGTGTTTTTTTCTTGTCTCTCTCTTGTCTACAGAAGATGCTGCGCTAATGAGCACCCATCAGCCTTTAGATGAGTGAGGCACAACAAAGAAACCTGAACATCAGCAGCCCACAGTAACAGTAAGGCCTCCTATCTGCTACCTTACATCATGAGCATTCAATATTTAAACCCCCGTACTTTAAACCCCCCCCTCAGCCAAGATCCTCCCTGTGCATATGCACCTGCTTATTGTTCTGATCAGTGATTTCCTGTGTGATTATGGGATCAGGAGACAGCTGGTGGCATATGGTAGCGCTCACACATACAGCTCTGACACACATTCAGCTGTGTATATTCTTGTCAGGGTCTCTGCTTTGTGATATAACGTAGACATGTTGACGCCATCCTGTTTTTATCTTCTGAAAATGTATTCATACTTGGCAGTGACATTTCTACTTTTTACTTTAAAGCATTCAAATTCATACAGTATTTGTATATATCGCAGCATGTAAAAGTAACTCTCCGTGTACCCTCGCTCAGTGGTTCCCGAGTTTTGTCTGTTTAACCATGAAACCCCCTCATAAGGATTTTCTTTTCATGGCTCCCCCTCCATGTCCTGTTGACCAGCACGCATGACACATGTCACATACTGTGTGATATACTGTATATGAACTAATCATTGTTAAGTGAAATAATATAAGCCACACATGGCATCATGCATTGTTTTTCATTTACCTATCTTGGTTGCTTAATATATTCAATATCTTTGAATAGAGAAGTCAGCTTAAGCGGCATCATTACCTCATCGGATAGCTTTTCCTTGCAGATGAAGCGCTCAGGTGTTGACAGCTAACTTCCCCTGTCCACATAAAGCCGTGAGTAGCTTTCACTGTGGGCTCGCTTTTGGCTATGTCAGACTGTTGAGGGCTGAGATGTAGCGCCATATCTCTGAGCTCCGTTTACACTGACAGATCTTTCCATCGCTTTTTCTGATTGCTGTGCACCTGGAAGGCTTGTGTGCCAGAAAATGTGTGTTGTGTTGCTATGACAACCAACAAGTGTGAGCTGTTGTCACCAGTTTTAGGTGTGGCATATCTGCATATATGGTGGTTTTGGTGTTTATTGCTAATTTCTTTCATACATTTGAAAATGTAATATTCTAAGGTAGTTAATGAAAATGTTACCCTTGTTTTCTGATGCGGTGAAATAAATAAAAATAATAAGTTAATAATAAAAATGTACAGTCAGCACTAGCTTGGGGAACAGCAATGTTAAAATGTTTGCACTTGTGCAGATACAAGCAAATCAAGCCATGCACCACAGGGGTTGAAGCTTTGATGTATTCCTGCATTGAGAATGGCGGTGTCGTCGAAAATGTGATCAAAGTTACTTTGTTTAGTTTTTTTGGCCAGACTTTACATGATTGGTGTGCCTCCGTACCAGCACCTTCTTACAATTTAAAAGAGGACACTTTGAATTGGTATTGTAGAGTACAGTACAGTATTTGTTGCAGGAGATCTTTTATTTTGTCAAACCCATCTGCGCTTCTGTGGACCTTTTGGCTTGTACCGAGTGCTTCTCATGCACTTATAGTTTAAGTGTCAGCAGGAGTAAACATGTCTTTAAATATATAGTTTGAAAATAGAGCCTGCCGGGCTCTCTGTTGTAGTCAGTTCATGTAAAACAGTTACTGACAATAAAATATGGCCCAGTATAAATGACTTTGGACAGATTTAATGTTGAATCTTGGGAGTGCCTTATCAAGCAGAAACAGGAGTGTAGATTGGAAGTAAATTATTAAGGTAGATTTGGGCCATAAAAGGGCCATTGAAATCCTTCTTTAAGATTTATGAGAGTGTCACACCGGTTAAAGCAGCATTTTTATTCCCCATGAAACATATCCTAAGGCAATTGCAAATGTAATGGGTACCTGCTATCATGCACTGTATTGGCCAGTATTGGTTTCTGTCTTACTGATACTAATATTTTCTTTTTTCTTTAGAAATGACCTTGTTTACAACTTGAAACCCCCATTTTATTTTAAGAGTTGTGGCGATTCAGAAAGGGAGTATTCTAGAGATTAAAGAAGGGTTGTGAAATAAGTGTTGGTTTTGAGTGGGCTGGCTTGTTGCTGTCTGGGATGCAGCGTAAGCATCCGTTCAGAATGACGGCTGATGATGGCCCTTGACAGATCTGGACAATGTTTATCCAAACATCCGGAGAAGCTTCCATGCCCCTGCAGATCTGCTGTGCTTGGTCAACTGTTTACTCTCCCCAGGAATTCAGATAGTCTGACTTGACCCAAGTCAGTGATGCACTTGTGTAAACTTAAATGAAAATGACATCTTTCTTGTTGACTGTTGACATGAAAGTAAGAACATTCTGGGTTGTTTAGTTTCAAATTTGCTTTTAAAAATGTTCATTTTGTTTACCTGAGGTGTAGAAGAGAATCCAGAGGAAGGTGCGAAGCATACTTAACATTTATAACACTAATGTTAGTTGTGATTAAAACCTGATTTCAGATGGCGGTATAATGTGAAAACTTTAGATTCGTGAACATCCTGATGTCTGTCAGCCATAACTGACGGACGATGGCTTCGTCTGTCGGCCCAACCCTAGTTCAGAGTTAAAAAATGCACCCACTAATGCCTCTAAAGCCTCTAAGGCTGACTCATGTACACAGCCTGTACAGAAATATTAAAACACCACTTTGTATTTTTAGGGGAAATAATATGTTGGACTTGTTTCTTGACAAACCCAAGTTGATTCATACAATACTTTTCTCAGATACAGTCGATGAGGAAAGGTTTTGGTCTCTGCACAAGCAGAATGGGACCAAATCTGGCAACATCAGCGACACGACTTCACTGTGCCCCGCTGTTTGCCAAGAAAAAGTTCCCCTAGGCTATTCAGTTTTATGCTTCGCAAACATAATGAGGCTAAACTTGAGCAATAGAATAAAAAAAAAAAAACATGACAAAATTAAAAGTATAGCTGCAATAGTAGTATCTTGGTGTCGGGAAATAACTCCGCTCATCCAACTGCCAAATTCTAATTATTCGGCCGGGAATGCTTTAAAAGTAGAAACCACCGCGGAAAAAGGTCTTTATTGCACTAATTGTAATGGGATTTCTCTATCTGAAGTCTTTCCAAGTTTCCCTCTTCTTTTCCACAATATTTTTTTTTTTTTCCTCATTGAGGTATCTTAATTAGGTTTTGATGGCAGATTCTCTGGTTTCTTTGAGGCCATTACAGTCTGTGAATGTGATTAGGAGCAACACAAATAAACCTGAGTCAAAATGATAATAAAAATGAATTTAGTAAAGTTTCTTCATCAAGTTGTGGAGTCATGACAGTCAAAACGTCATGATTTCAGAATTTAGTGGCAGCGTAAGCTCAAGTTCCCATAATTTCACTGTCGTCTCCAAGTAGGACTATTTTTAGCCTCAGAGCACAACTTTCAGCACAGTTCCTTGGGGTTATTCTGATATACCTCACACGCATGGAAAATAAAAGAATATAGTGAATAGAGTTATGTAACTCTATGAAAGAAAAAGAGAGAATATTTCATTATTTAAAACTGATAGAGAAATGCTTGCAATGTGGGATTTTCCATTGCTATTGGAAGTAAGGTTGCACTACTTTTGCTGCTCACCCAAGACCCTTGTTTTTAGCTTGTTCATTAAAGCTGGACTAAATAAGTTCACTCCAACACTCACAGCGGCCTTTAAGGTTCCTAAACTGACTAGTGTGACTAGTACGCTGCATTGTAGGCATCATACACAGAGAGCCTCTAGTGCAATGCATGCTGCTAATAACTACCTTAAAAATGACTTAAGTACGTGAAAACAAATGAGTTCACCATCAGTTCTTACACAGATAACCCAAAGGGGCAAACATGTCAGAGTCAGAGCAGGCTGAACGTATTTCGTATATACGCCATTCAAAAGCTATCTTCACCCCTCCAGATCCCTTACCATCTGGAAAACCATCCGAAGGACACACTAAAGTGCTGCTGTCTTCTTGAAATCTTCAGACTTGCATCACATATCCTGAAGAGATCTGTAGTCGCATTTGAGGCAAAAGTGTGACATTGCCACAGATCTGTGTTTAAAGTGACTTACCACCTACTATACCTGCAAGCAACATCCTCGTGTCATAACTTTCTGTTCCCCGTGGAATACCACACGCATGTCTCAAGCAATATGTTTTACTTTTTGAAATCTTAATCTCCGGGGGAGCAGGTTGTGTTCTTAAGGCAGCATGAAAGTGGAAGTATGCTGCACTTTCAGAGTGCATTGTACAGCTGAACCATCGCCAACTGCCAACTTGGTGTCACTAAAATTATGTTCACAGCATCCTATTTCCCTACCACCATAACTTGCCATCCTCAAGAGGCACATCAACAATTTATTCATCATTATGTGGCAGAAGGTTTTCCCTTCTTCCCTCCAAAACGTTTAAAAAAAGTGTTTAAATGTTAATAATAATAATAATGATAATGATGATACAATTATAATAAACTATAATAATAAACTCTGACCCCTGTGTACGTTTAGCCTTAAATAGACTTGGACTAACTTTGAAAACACGTTTCTCAAAAACATTTAAAGCAAGTGAGGTAACGTCCTAGACAATCACAGGATCTTTTTCATTTTTGTATGCATGTAAAGAGGATTTTAACAAATATAACAAAACATTCTTCTGAAATAAATTGCCTGCCCCAGCTTTAAGCAGTGATCCAAGAAACAGCTTGTAGAGATATCACATATCACGCACGGAATAATAAATTACAGTGATATAATTTTCCATGACTTTTGCTGGTCACTTTCGGGACTCTCCAACATTATTTTTGCTTCACACTGTAAGCGCAGTGCATGCAGAACATAACCACGGATGAAACTACTCCTCCTGCCGTCGGTGTGGTATAACATGATTTCATTATTGTATTCACTTCCAGTTGATCGTTGATTAACAGGAATTTGAAAATGCCCTGAAGATAGATTTGTGTGTGTGTGTGTGTGTGTGATTGTATGTATATGTAAGCATGAGTCTGCACACGTGTGTCTACGTCTGCATGTAGTATATCTGCACATACTGGGAGGCCAAATGTAGGCCTTGGCTGTGGCTGTTCATCCAT